GCGCGAGCGCCGCTTCCCTCCCTCCCTCCCGACCGCTGCCGGGAGGAACGCTCGCTCGCTCACTCGCCCAGCCACCGGTACCGGTATGTAAGCGGGAGTGATGGAGGATAAAAGGGGCATGATGGAGGGTAAAAGGGGTTAGGGTTAAAATAAGCACTCCCCTGAAAATAAGCCCTCTGGTGTTTTTCTGTCCCCAAAAAATAATAAGACAGTGTCTTATTATCGGGGAAACACGGTATTGGTGCATGCAAATCTGGACATAAATATTCATAAGCAGAGTGAACGCTACATCCCTCCCCTCTTAATTAATTTGTTTTAGGAGGGAAAACCTAACGGTTTGCCCTCATAAACAAAGGTTCATGGAAGAATGCAAATATTAACCTTATTTTTACTATCATTATACATACCTATTAATTTATTAATATCCAAGAAATTTTGCACTTTAAACCTATCCCACAACTAATACACAAGCAGAACAATTAATATTGAACTCAAATAAAAACAAAGAATTTTCTGTAGTCATCTGGCCTTCTAGACAAAGAGTCCATAACCACATTCTGAGATCCTTATACATTGAGGATTTCAAAATCAAAGTCCTGCAAAATCAGCGACCGTCTTGCAAGCTTGCTACTGTTAGATTTCATAGTTCTTAGCCACACTAAAGGGGAATAGTCGGTGCAGAGGATGAATTTCTTTCCCCAAATGTAGGACTTCAGCTTGTGCAGCATCCATATGATAGCTAGACACTCTTTTTCGATAGTGGATAAATGTCTCTAACCAGGTTGGAGTTTCTTGCTTACGCAAGTCACTGGATGTAGACTCCCACTGTCCTCTGCTTGGCACAGCATGCCTCCTAGTCCCACAGTCGATGCATCTGTGTAAATGATGAACTCACGTTTGAAGTCTGGTGCAATCAGGACAGGTTTGAAGTCAGCGCTCTCTTCAGTCAGTCGAAGGCTACCTGGCACTCTGATGTCCACTGGATGTTTTCAGCTCGCTTCTTTTGGGTTAAGTTTGTTAATGGAGCAGCTATTTCACTAAACTTCGGGGCAAAGAGTCTATAATAGCCGGCTAACTCAAGGAACGTTCAGATTTTCTTTTTAGAAGTCAGGGTGGGCCAAGTATCAATAGCT